AACCCCACGCTGGGATGAACGGCAGAGAAGAAGGACAGAAGGAGAGGAATAAAGCTGGTCGGGTTTCCTCGACCAGTATCCCTTCTTTGGCTGTTTAGTCCAACAGAGTCTTTATCTGGAAAAGTGATGGTGGTGGGTTGAGTTTATTGGTAGTCAGTTTACTGGTACTAATAATATGTTGGATTATATATTGCTGCCACTGTTGTCAGCCTTAATTAGTTGCCTGTAAATTACAACATTTTCATCTTTAAGTTGTGAACAAAAGTTTACCTTCACTTCTAAAACCATGCATATCATGACAGGCTTGAGTTTCCAGTGAATTCTACAGCTCTTCATTTTCTATGATGGATGATTAACGCGTCTTTGTCATGAAAACAATTGTGTTTTGGTTTTTACATGAATTCAGTACAGATTGTCTGGAAATATAGCGAAACGTACTCGTTGATTTTCACCTCAACTTAGCTCTTTTGGTCGCCGTCAACAAGCTTCCGGTTGGATCTTAGACCACTTCTCTTGACAGATTTGGTGCAGTTCAGCTAAACTTTGTGACACAGACTTATTACTTCAGCACAGATCACAGGTTTAAGTCAAGACTTTTGGGAGGCCAGTCTAAAACCTTAGTTCCAGCCTGATTTAGCCATTTCTTTACCACTTTTGCCGCAAGTTTGGGGTCATTATCTTTTTGGAAACACCCAACCGCATCCATGATCCAACCTTCTGGTGGATGAAGAATAAGAAGTAATTTTCCTTCATTATTCTGTTTATTTTTGTGTAAAGCACCAGTTCCTGTGGCAGCAAACAGAACATAATCCTGCCACCGCCATGCTTGACTGTAGGTGTCCTTGTGGTTAAAGGCTTCACCTTCTGACTATTACAGATCTTTTCGTCTCCAAACATATTTCTGGTCATTGTGGCCAATTTGCAGACATATGCCATAAATGACAACATGTCTTTAATATTTATTGATCCAGAATTAAGCTCTACCAACTCTATTTAACATTTAAAAATGCATATACTACTATCATTTAGGATCAGAGGACCTTCATTCACAGGCATCAGTGTCTGACAGATTGTAGTTTATTAAATGTATTTCACAAACCAAGAAAAAATGATTAAACCAAAGGCAAGAAAAACTGCAACTCAGGGCATCAGTGTAAAGGTAATAATATTCTTAGCTGCTTAAATCGAGTCATGACACCTAACAGAGTTTGGTGTGTTAATAATTTTTGTTCATTTCACACCGTTACTTTTCACAGTCGTCTGTTTTTAATGGTCGTTTTTGGCTCCAAAACTCTCCCATCAGATTTTACATTTTTAACCATATTTTGTAAAAGCACACCTTCGGGTTGGATGTTTGTATATTTTAGCCATAACTTATCACAACATACCAGATGGTTTTCTGATCCACTTTTCCTTTCTTCTGACCAGTATAGGATGAACCACTTCAAGTAAGTTAAAAACAAAAAATCAAACTGCATCAGAAGTCTGCACAAGACCAGGATGGTTTGGAAACGTTTGGATTCAGAACCGGATAAACAGCAGAGCAACCTGAGCCAACGAATGTGGGAAGCAGAACAAACGGAAACCCGAGTCTGCGGTTCCACTAGAACCAAGCTCGCAAACAAGCCGTACGCATGTAAATAGAGATGACTGGGCTTGTGGAGGTCCTGGAGCCTGCAGCAGAAAGTGCAGGTTTAGCTGTACTGAGTGACTGAAGTAAAGCAGGGGAGGCGGTACTTTTTGTCGTAACCTTTCAGAAATTTGCAACTCAAGAGCTGTGAGATGCAGCTCGACTCCTGGAACTTCTCTCGGCTCCATTTCCAGGCTCGAATAGCGTCAAGAGCAACAAAGTCCACAGAGAACATAGGATGTGGTCGAGCAAAGGGAAAAACAGACGAAAAGTGTCGTTTGAATTCCAAGTAAAAGCCACAAGTTAATGGTGACTCTATGAAGGGCTGTTTGATTCCTATCTGGTTGGAGGAGCCGACAAACAGGAGATGTATGTTCAAATAGTTTTCCTCCTGCTGCTGCTTTAATACATGACATCAAATCCCCGCTTGCAGCTGTTATTTAGCGTGATTGTGTGACTCTAGAGGTCACCGTTCATAATGTTACCTAGTGTGGAAGAAAACAGCAACTTCCAGCCCAAAGCTGATGCTGTGGTGGCTTTAGAAGTTCAGCGCAGTGCAAAAAAAATAGACAAAACACAAGCAAGCTAAGAAAACTACCCGCTCCACCGTTTTGACACAACAAAGTGAGAAAACACACCCTGACCTGGTCGGAACCAGGAAACAGCAGAAACACTGTGAGGTTAGCGGCTAATATCTGCATTATGCGTCTGTAAAGGGAGGAAAAAAAGCCGAGATGCTCCTCTGAAGGCAGCTAAAGGCTCATTCACAGACCATTCAATCTACCATCCCAGAGGAAATCCTTTTTTTAATGTCCTTGACAATGCAACGCCTCCACAGATGAGGTCAGGAGTCAGGTCCAGCCTCTGAGCTGTCACGCTACGTCTTCATAACGATACTTGCACATTTACTGGACTCCTCGACAGACCGCCGCTCGTTTAAGAAAATACTCCGGGTTGTTTCCTCGGTGTATCCAAGACACAACGCAGATCCGTCCATCACTGTGCTCTCCTGCACCCCTAAATTGTTTCCACACCGTCCCAGGCCCCTTTCCCAACTTCAATTAACGTCTTCACACATCACTTTCAAGCTGCAAAATTCTCCTCTTCCCAAAAAATGAAAACACTCACATAAGAATAGACAGTTTAAACAGGTGCTATGGTAACATAATCGTCACTGCGGCAATTACTGCCGTATGCCTGACTAACAGTCATAAATCATTCTCCCTCCACAAAGAGGACGTTGTGGCGCTCCACTCCCATCCAATAATCAGAAATTGCTCCGTGTACGGCGTGACGAGCGGGCGCTGAAACAGCCCATTCTTCTGTTTGGCGGGACGATATTTTGCTCTCTATGGCGACATTACAGGGATCCTTCAGCGAGCACGATATTGTACCTGCTCGACACCTGTTAGCTTTAGCCAAGGGTTTCATCAGATAGTTGAAATAAATACTAGTCATCATCATAACCATAATCATAGTCATAAAAACCGGGGGCCTTTATGCTGTTGCCAAATTGCCCTGCCATCTGATTTACAGTCGGACCGGGCGGGGAGGGGAAACAGATAGGGCAGGGAGGAGGATGGCGCCTATTATGCGCTCAGAACGGGATAAATACTCGAATATACACACCTGCAGACCACCCGTCGCTCTCACACACACACACACACACACCTGGGAGCTCTCACAGGCATGTAAATGGGTGGGAATGGGCTGCGGGGAGGGAACACTGAGGAATTCTCTCGGGATTACAAAGACCAACATTGTGCGAGCCTCACACACGGTGCAGCAGGTGAGTGGAGTGATAAGGGGCCAGAGGACAAATTAGGGCCCTCATATTAAAATAATCCCTCATGTCTAATAACAATAATATTCCCCACATGCAGGCTACGGCGCGGTCACAATGGTCTTCCCTTTTCAGGCTGCAACTTGTTGAAAACAGATTTGAGTGTTTGTGAAATGGGCTCATCGTATCTGCTCGACCTGTCAACGGTCCTGAAATACACGGAGGTTAGAGTAATGGATGCCAATAACTGCAGTGAGGAGGCCGTCTGTGTAAACTCAAAATCCTGAGCAGCTGCGCGATACCGCCGGAGTGTCAATGATGCAAGAAGGCGTGATGAAAAAAATCCAAGAACGTACGGCGCACGACTTCAGTGCGTCCAAGGGAACGGGCGATTATCAAACCAGGATTCTTCTGATTATTGGTATCAGTATTTTTTATTAGCAGATACCTGATAAAAGAAATTAATTTAAAAATGTGTTGCTTTGGCTCTGGTGCAGCTGCTTCTCTCTGACTGTAGGAGAATTAAATGAAGCTTGTGCTCTTCTAAGTTTGTGTGTATCACTTATTAGTGTCTTTGATCGCTATTGGTTCTGCAAAAAACACATCAGTTCACCCCTAAAAAGAACTAGTCTGTCTAAATGATTACTCACTTTGTAGAGGAGTATATCTGCATCAAAAATGCAATTTTAAGAGGCTAAAAAAGCCATTTAGAGCCTTTTACATGGTGCAACTCTGGCAAAGTCGTGCTATTTTTTATATTTGTTTTGCCTTGAATGACGTTCAGCTCCTACAGAACTTTGTGGTGCTGATTTAAATGATCAAACATCTCACAATGCAGGTGTTCTATCAACCAAACCTTCCTTTCCAGTGTTTCTCTCCTGCTCCTAAATCATTTTGCTGTGCACATATAGAACCTGCATGTCAACAAATTCTTTTGTAAATGAGAAAAAAAAAATCCCTTAAATACGAGTAAATTATGTGATAAAGGACAAACTTGGGAAATGAGGAAGTTTTGTATGAAGAAGCAAAAAAGTTGTATGATGAGTTGTTGTGTAATTTGCCGTCCTTCACATCAATGTACCGTAATTTCCGGACTATTGAGGCATCTGAATATAAGCCGCACCCGCTAACTTTAAAAAGAAAACCAGTTTTGTACATATACAGGCCGCAGGTGTCCACGTTGTAACGTGAGATATTTACACAGAAAGATTTAACTTTTAATTAAATAAATGTTTTTTTCCGAACAGTGTCTGTAACACGGCTGGTTAAGAAAATAAAAACTCCAGCAGCCTACCAGGAAAAGTCACTGATCGCTATCTTCATCGTTCTCCTGAACACTAAAACCACTAAAGTCGTCTTGTTCAGCCTCAGAATTACTTCGTCACTTCCTCAGTCTCTCTGTCGATGTCGCTCTCGATGTCACTTTGGTCTCGAGGCAAATTCGTAGAAATCCATAAATTAGCCGCATCATTGTTTAAGCCTCAGTGTTCAAAGCGTGTGAAAAAAGTAGCGGCTTATAGTCCGGACATTACGGTAACTACTTTACATGTGCAAATCGCAGTCGTTGACACCAAACCAGCAGCCAAATGTTTTAATATATTTATTTGTTAGAAGGCATAAAGATCATGACATCACTGCTGGAAAGAATACAGTCAAGTCTATCAGGTTGTCTCCAAGTAACAGGACAGATATGTTGGAATATACAAAGACTGAAACACAAACATCGTTAGCATTTTATTTGAGTGTTGTCTAACCGACAACCAAAACTTCTATTATTTGTAGTGTGAGGCTGTCTTCCTTTTTTCATCCTCTCTAAATATGAAAAGCACAAAATGTCACTGTTACGTTTTTATTGCAGTAAAACTGAACTTTCCTGAAAGGTGCATAACGTGGCGATTGCAGTAGATGGAGAGGGCGTTAACGCTGTCTTTACAGCACAACACTGGACCCTGACGTGCAAAATTGAAATGACAAAAACCGTGAGATGCACAAACAGAACACAGAGAAAAATACAGACAAAATCTGCTCAATCACTTCATTTAAAAAACAGACGTGTTGTTTCCTCGTCTATTAAATGTTTAGTTTGGCCCCAAAGGAAAGCGTTCCTGTGTTACAATACTGTCTCAAGCTCTACTTCTAATAAAATAAATCAGTTTTGATTACAAACTGCGCATCAAAAGAGGCTTCAGGCACATAAACTGTCTGGTCGCGTGACAGCGAACGCAGCCTTTACTGCCAGCGTTCACTATCAGCTGATGGACAACATCAACAACGAGCTGTGTTTCTACGTCTGTCTGCTTTTGCTGTTGCAATCTGATAAGTGACGCCGAGTACATTTAAACAAAAGCACAAAAACATTGTCAGTCCAGAACGGCTCCAGAGAGCTGAAATAACAATCCTGACAAACAAACAGGAAATGTGACCGGCGTTAGTCAGCGTTGGGTGTTTTCAGGCTCGGTGGATGTAAACTATTATTCAGCGTAAAGCAGCTCAGGAACATTTTTTAAAAAGTTGTCGCAGCACCAGATCTTACAACAAAAACAGAAACTCTTCTCTCATGAAATGTGTTTTTATATTAGCAGCAGGCAGTTACTTGTCTTTAACTGACACAAGGTCCCGTAACGTGCAGAGAGCCCAGCAAGTCACCCAGAGCCTGGTGATCTGCTGCTCAACCGTCAGGCTTCAGAGTCGCTGGTCTGGAATGATGAGTTTTGTAAAGACTTGTTCTGGTGTAATGAGCTTCAGAAGTCCTGTCAGGATGGAGCTGCTCTACGGTTTCGGGCCGTTCTGCATCCGCTGCCGCCTCCTGGCCAACGCTTCCTGCTTCTTCCTCTCGATCTCGGCGGCGGAGCACTTCCCCGTCATCTGGCTCGTGACGAAAACTGGAAAGGAGGAAGGACAGCGGATACATGGTTAGATTGAGGGGACAAGGAAACACTGGCAATTAAAACATTAGCAACGATCTGAGGAGAAAAACAGGAACTAATCCAGAACTCTTTGCGTCGCCGTGTGACCTAGAACGACTTGAGTGTTAATTTGCAAACATAAAAATGACGCTCATTTGAAAGTTTTGGAAAAAAAAAAATTCCTCCGTGTCCAGAAAAAACAATCAGTCTGCAATTCATTGGCAGTGAAGCTTCCTGAGGTTTGGACTCCTGACAGGATCACAAATTGAAGCCATGGCGCTGTGTTTACTTGCTTTGGGGAAGAATAGTTCATGTGCACATGCACTGAACTGTCAGTGATTATAAGAACAACATGTGACATCTGTTTTACTTGTGAATTTTCACTTCGATATCCAGTCTTAAAGCGGAGCACCGAGGGCAGCAGATGGAACGTTCAGACTGCAAAAGATGCATTAAGTTAAACAAACATGACCACCGAGCAGGAAGAGTAGGAGCGCTGAACTTCATCCTAATGGACGTGTAGTTTTGGCACGTGATGCTGAGTATAGCTGATCATATGTGTTTTGTCTAATTACAGACAATATGTGTCATTTTAATGAAAAGCAGGTGTACGTAACATATTCTTGTGGCTTTTCCTTTAACAAACATTTAAGCTAGAATGTTTTAATTTACATTATCTCCTGATGAACTCAGTAGAAGTTTAAGACAGTTAAGACTCTTATCCATCAGTCTGACCAATCTCTCCTAAACTATCTTTAGAGACCAGACAAGGAGTCCTGCAGCAGATGTTCCCCACAGAGTCCTGATCTCCGAAATCCACTGAAAAACTGCAGCAGCGATGCCAAGGTTGGAAGAATCCACCTGTCAAGTACCTTGAAAAACTGAGTCAGACCTGATATTGTGTTCTCTTTAAGTTTTTTCTGCGCTTCGGGTTAAATCAGTTGATAAATACATCCGAACTATTCTCGGCATTACCTTGGAAAGCCTCAAGCATCTGAAACTTTTGCACAGTTCTGTATACGTCACGCTTTAACCGAATCCAGATGCAAATATCAGAATGTGGACTTCCTACCTTTGCTGCTTACGGCTGCCGAGTCGGATACGTTTCTCTTGAACGCTGTCTGATGGGACCTGAGGCTTTGCGGTGTTCTGGCTGTCACTGCATGCGGCTTCGTATCCACGTTAGCATTTCCAGCCTCCAAAGTTCCAGAGGAATCCCTACGCTGGCCAAATGTGCCCAGACCCATGCGGCTTCCCGGGAAGCTCTGAGACATCCGTGACTTGTCGCTGGCGCCCTTCATGGGAACGTTCCACCCTTGGTAGTTCACAGTTCCGCTGCTAGTCGTCGGTAATGAGTTAGAACGAACAAAAGCACATGGCGACTGTCTTTTAGCGCTGGTGCTGGTGGACGAGACTGCGTCGATTGGCAGAGGCTCGGTGGTTTTCCGTTGTCCGTCCGCAGCGATGTGTTGTTTTTCTTGGCAGCTGCTGGTCGTCACTTGCTGCGGCTGACTGTTGGAGATCCTCTCCACGCTGTCACATACCTGGTAGAGCAGCGCGTCGTCGTCCCCGTCATCCCACAAACTGTCTGAAATGTCTTGACCAGAGTCTGCTCCTGAATTAGCCCTCTTGTGATTGTTAGTGATCTTGTCAGGCTGCGGAGTGGAAGGTGTCTTTGTGGTCGCAGATTTCTGCCCCAACATCTGTGATTTAGCTTGTTTCACAGTGAGGCTGGACTTTGAAACTTCCTTGGTCTGGAAGTAAGGGTTAGACTGTAACTTGAAAGTGCTTCTGTTGGTAGTCTTTGGTTTGGGACACAGTTCCTGGAGTGCACTGCAGCTTGGCTTGCAGTGCACGTTTGAAGGCTGATGTGTGGTGTTTTTCTTTGCAGCTGGTTTGCAAACCGAGGCCAACTGAGTAGTGTTTGTCTTAGCGTCAGACTGAACGGTGGTTTTAGGATTGGCATCATGTAGCTCGTTGGGGTTCTGGGTCATCGCCAGCACAAAAGAGTCATTAAGTAAGTCGTCGTTGTCCCAGTCATCATCGAAATCAGCGCAGTTGTTTGTGGTTACAGCACAAGGTCGTTTCTCTCCGGCAGGATGTGCAGCTGAGCCAGACTCGTCAGCTGACTTGAGCTCTGATCGTCTTTGTTCAGACAAAGCTGAAGTCACGTGTTGGTCTTTAGCGTCTTGTGAACAGGCCGATGCCGTGGGGCTTTGGCTCAGCCGGCCGCTGGCTTTCTGAGTGGAGCAGTCGAACAGAGCGTGCAGCTCGGCCTCCACCTGATCCGACGAGGATGAACACTTTAGGTCCTTGGCATTGCTCGGGACTGATGTCAGCGCTACTCGTGTTTCAGAAGTCTTAACACTTTCAGCGAGGTCACTGTGGACAGTGTTCAGCTGTTCTGAAGTCTCCTTGTCTTGCTGCATGTTCTCGTCAAACTGCCTGGCCAGCTTCATGAGGTCGTCCACGCTGCTCTGTCTGTGGAGGTCAAAGCAGAGACAGTCGCTAATAAAGTAAAATTATGTGGAAATAACAAACAGGCCTCCAGTCAAGATGTATAATGTTTAATGTACTGATTACCCACCGAGAGGACTTCTTCCTGGCTCTTGGCTTGCGGATCTCTGGTGTGCAGGGGATGGCGCTGTCACCGATCCACTGCAGCAAAGGAGAGTCAGTCCCTCTCGGTCTCACATCCTAAAAAAAACAAACAAGCTCAAAATATCACACAGAAAAAAAGGCCTATTTCAATTGTATTAAACGTGACATTAAACATGAGTATTCAATCTACTGTTGACTGTAATGTTTAAGAAGAAGCTGAAGAAACCACCGACCTTTGGAGCAATGCGGTTCACAATATCGGATATTTCCACAACTCTGGTGTTCCTGTGCCCCGACCCTGAAGAGAAAACAGATAAAAAGATGTGTTAATGACACATAAACAGATCAATATGAGCTGAGCTGTACAATGGTCATTCATTTTATTTAAATGCAGGTTCTGTATTTAAAGCAGGTTTTTATTGCCACCATATGGGCATGAATTAAACAGTCGTAATCTCTGTGTTGAATCAGCGTTGTGTACCAGCATTAGCTTGAGTAGGAGATGTTGGATCCCAGAAAATATCTTGCGATGCTTCCACATCTCCCGGAGAATCTCCATTGTTCAGGCCGGGGTATCTGCTGCAGCCTCTGTTCCTGGGACTCTGCAGATCTGTGCAAGTCAAACAGAAGGCAAGTGTTTTATTGTATCAGCTAAAATGAAGACAAAAGTATGAATATTTAAAAGAAAATAGCCCTGGATCTATTCATCTGTCACTCCAGTCATGCTTTAAAGCTGATGTATGGGATCAAACATAGAAACACTCTGCGATATTATAGTACTGCACTGTTTACTGAAGCCTAAATATTTCACATCAGGTGTTTTACTCCAAAGATTTTTTTTATTCCAGTGTCACAGCAGCTGTGACATTACTGTGTGTGGATCCTTCCTTAGAAACTACAAATATAATGCGGCCTCTCCAAGAATTAAACCACAAAACATGACAAAAGGTAGCAATTAAAACACACTTTAATGTCTCACTGTGAGTCACTGTCGTTAAATACGTTATTATGAGGACGTGGGCAGGATTCTCACATCGGGTAAATTTGCTCTGACGATTATTAGGTATTTATTTGAGGTGTTTATGGGACCTTATAAGTGAACTTTTCCCCCCCTCACCTGCAAGTATTTCCTCGGTACACCTTTACATATGATTACAGCTTTTTAAATCATATAAATGAGACTAATTCCCAGACACAGACTGTGATATAAATGTGTAACGGGTTAAGCACAAAGTGGGATGACCTCAAAGCACAGCGCCTCACATATTAGGTTCACCTTCAAATAACTTGAAAACAATGTAATTATCAGGTTAAAACCTAAAGTTTAATTGCATTAAACATAGTATTTACACAGGATTAGACTGTTATCTTCTTTGTGTGTCTCCCTACTGATGTAACAGAGGCTCCATTCAAAGATAATCCGGGTACCAGGAATGTAAATAAAATCAAAATTATTTTATTTCCTCATGACAGCACTAATCATTTATGGAAGTCTGTGGTTTTAGCAAAAGTTAGTGGTGTGCATGATGACATTAGATCAAGGGAGAGGATATAAAGTCCTCCAGCATGTTGTGCTTTTGACTCCCTAATGGCCGCCGACACTCCTCCACGTCTGCAGGTAGACTCACACGGTACCGACCCATTTATTCTGCTATCAATAGTCGACCCTGCACAGCCTCACCTTTACGCATCGGTGATGTAGCCGCGCCAGGCATCTGTCTGCCGGTGTTGTCGTCCCGTGTTCTGCCGTGGCACAGGTTGGAAACCGTCGTCCACAGCTCAGTGAACTGTGCATGCGAGCTGGGCTCTGACATGGGTCTCCGAACCAGCCGCAGCAGCGCCGCTTCCGCTCAACATTATCACATCAACGGCCTCGTCGGTGCCAAGTTATCTAAAACAGCGCGGATGGCGGTTAAAATCACGAGTTTTTCATGTTTTTCTAAACTCTTTTCATTGTGTTTTTATCGTTTGCTCAGTCATTTAAAACAAGCCGCCATGTTTTTCATCGTGACGTCATTCGTGTACGGATGCCGTGTTGGGCAAAAAAGCGAACATCCGCCAAAAAACCGGATAGCAGATCGCTGTTGTTCTGCATTGCCCTATCCGGTCCATTTTACCTGCTGAAATAACTTTAAAGAGGTAGTTCAGTTCATGTAATTCAGTTTTCCAATTGACAAAAATGAACAGCAGCGCCTACGTTATGACTGAAATGTTATTAATGCATCAAAATGACTTGATTTCATTCACGACGGTCATATTTTAAACATTATAAATCACAGAATCATTGCAAAAAGGATTATGTCTTTATTTCTGACATAAAACCCATCCATAAAACATGCTAAATACTGCCTAAACAAGACTATAAAGGCATATATCTGAAAATAAATCACTCATTTGCAGTATTTATTTCCTCATTTTACTTTTTTCAGTAGTTTGTGTAAAATCAGTTTCAGTATCATGTGTAACATTTCATTTCCATGTTCAGTTTTTCACATTTCATTTGCAAAATGTCATTATTACCTCCTTATCATTGAAGCATTACTTTTTACTTTTCAGTTCCAGTCATATTTTGGCTCATTTTATTTCAATAGTCCATCATACTGACGGGTTTTTGCTTTTCTACAAGGCACTGCATTTATTCTCATGTTAGGTTTTGTTTTTTCTGAGCAATATTTGGCACAAGAATTTCCTTTGGGGGCATTACAGTCTTATCTCATATCAAAAACATGCAGCTTTAGCATCGACAATACTATAATGTTGCCTCTAATCTATGACTGCACATAACGATTATTTTAATTGTTGATTAATCTGGTGATTGTTTTCTTGATAATAGGTTCGTTCTTTAGTTTATAAAATGTCCGAAAATGGTGAACATTTCGGTCAAGGTTTCTCAGAGTGCAGCAGGAAGTCTTTAAATCTCATGTTTTGTCCACAAGCCAAAGATATTCAGTTTCCATCATTCTGTATATAAAACCCTCAGAAAGCTAAAACACACCAAGCTGAGAATCACCTGTTTCAGCAGCATTTTACTTAAAAATGCACAGAGGAGCAGTGCTACAGGCCTGATCACACTTTAGACTGCAAATATTTCTCTGGTCACAATTAATAGGTTGCAATAAACGTTAAAGTTTCACAGAGACATAACTTCGCTGTCACCACTGACACATAAGCCACGTCTGCGTAGTCGTACTTCAGGACTGTTTGACCCAGTAAAAGCAGCTGTGGACGTTTTAACAGGACGTTTTTGGCAGACGGTCACTTCACCGGCCAGGTTTTTTTCCAGACAAAAAACTGTGAGCGCTTGTAAAGTACGTACAAAGTGAGTATTTCTTTTTTTTTTTGTTACCGCTTGGTTCTAATTATGTCATTTAAGATTTTTTAGAATTTTCAATTCACATTTACTGCGTTCATTTGGCAGCTTTTGTTAATAGTTTTCTCCAGTAATTTTCTTTAATAATCAGATTAGAAATGATAAAACCTTTAAGTGTGAAATATAATGTATTATCACAGTAGAATAGCAGCTACAGTATACATAGTAGATCGAACTAACTCCTCCACAGCCAGCTAGATTATTGAAATATTTAAAAATGCAAAGAAATAATACCATAGTATAATATATTAATAATAATTTAACAGATCCCTTTTCTACAAGCTCAAGGCTACAGAGCTCCAGTCAACAATAAAGTGGGTCTCATCATGTTGTCTCTTTCAAACGTAACCAACCAAATCCACATTCATGCTCCCAAACACTTCCCGTTATGTGAGAACTTTATGAAAAACAGTCTAAGTTTGCTCTGCTATCGGCTGGTTGCAAGTAGCACAGTAAATAATCTGTCGAAGCATCCTGATGCCACAAAATACGTGTGTTTCCTCAGTCATGCTCATCAGCTGTTGCTGGGCCTGAAGCTTGTTGGTCCTCTGTGGGGATTGTCAAATAAACCCGTCACACTTTGGTCTAATGTTTGTGACGTGACGAGCAAAATTCACATCACATGGTGTCTGGTGAAGATGCCACAAGGGTCTGTTGAGGCTAACAAGCTACTGCAAACATGGATTCTCCTTTATTTCACCGTGATGAGCCGTCAGTACGAAGCAGAACAGATGACTCGAGAGTTTATTCAACAGCACACTGTAGTTCTTAATGTCTGTTCATGTTAGACAGCGAAAAACTTCTGTCTGCCTCAAACGGATGAACTGGAAACACTTGAAACGCCGCGTCTTGACAACAGGAAGTCCAGTTGTCTTTTACCGAAACTCTGACTGACAATCTACACAAACACACTGATGGAAATAAATCCACAGCTTTTATCATTTCATCCCTGACAAATTCTGATGTGACCAAAAAAACACATTAATAGTCAGAATCTTGGATTAAACCGGCCTCATCTGCTTCACAGTCGCCAGCATGAGAATTTAATTTGCGTCACGTTTAATTCGATTTCGTGTCCCGCGTTGTTCTAAATCACTCAAATATGTCAAATATTGGCGTATTGTTCTTCAAGAAGTCTTTTTCGCTTAAAAACTCCCTCAAGTTCTGGTTTGTGTCATGTCAAAGGCCTCTGCTTGGAATTAAGAGTTTGTTTCTGAAACGGTTGTTTGCACACAAAGTCGAATTACCTCCTTAGAATTCTTTTAAATTACATCTGCTCCTTGTCACTGATTGGAAAAAAGAAAAAGAAAAATGCTGAATCCATGAATATGCAAATAGTTTTTCGAGTCTCAGTGCGCGCTGTAAGATGCACATCACAAGTGGATTTTAAATGAGCTTTTCTAATTTAAAATCATTTGTCTTAAAGTCAGATTTAAGGTGAGTAAGAATAAGATTCCAGCCACCACCAAGTGAAGTCAAACATCTGAAGCTAAGAATACTTCCTCTACCAATCCAAAGTAATAACTGCTTTACAGCTTTAAGATCAAATGTCAGAGAAACGATTAATTCGGTGCACTTTGGGTGAGTTTGTGAGGCTTTTCTGAGCCCAGGCGGCCGGTGGGTCAGCAGCTTATCTTTAGGGAGTGAGCCTCAGTGTCAGAATCTTAGTCTCCGATAAATTTACGCCACTAATTAAAACACATTTGTCAAAAGTGACGTAAAGGTCTGGGATGTTTGAGCAGAATATTTTTCTGACCTTTCAGAGCTGCTTCAGACTGTTTTTAATTCAACGCGGATTCGTCTTGACTTTGTCTGCTGTTATGTGATATCTTAAAAAAAAAAATCCTAAATCCTCATTTTTGTTTTCTAGCACTGCACAAAATGAGGGGTTACTATTGTTGTTGTCTTTAAAGATCACAGTTTTAAGCAGCATTCAGAAGCTTCATTCAGAGTTGTTAAACTACAAGTACTTCAGAAACCTCTCGTACAGTTATTATTACCTATTTTGGTCTTCGCTCTGAATGGGATGAGTCAGGTCTTGGAAGCTCTTCAGGGCTCAGTTAGATAAAAGTCAGCTTGCTAATACTTTTTTTTTTTTGCTGAGTGAACGTCCAAAAATGTGTGCAAACGTGCGCCGTAGTCGAGTGAATGATTGCTTTAGCGGTAACCGGTTAGTGACGTGTGAGGTGATGATTCCAGATAAAGTCACCGTGATGTCGAAACCGGTCCACGTTTCCACCGTCGTCTTCTTATCTCAGAAATCTGAGGGAAGCAGCTGTGTGGTGAGTGTGGTGGTTATTTGTCATCCGTGTGAGTGGACTTTCCATTTAACACACTGTGTGACTCCCTTGATCCAGAAAAGTCATTTATTTCAGGAAGGAAAGCAACACTTTGAGACGAGATCGGTGGAAGTTTAAAGATGTTTAAGCCACTTATAGAGGTAGATTCCATATAAAACAAATGCACAAATTTACTGGAGAGGTCAGAGGTCAGTTAATGTGTATTTTATATTTACTCAGATTTGCTAAAAGTGATTAGTTTAACCCTGATTTAATCTTATTTTCATTATGTGATGCAGAATTCCCTTAACGTCTTTCTGCTTCGGGAGCTTCTGAACGTCAGCAATCAGATACTCTAAACAGAGAATAACTGAGGATTCCTCCTGATTTCTCACATTCTGCAGAGCAATTTCCAGAATAAAGCACTAGATGGTGCTTGTATACCTCCTTGGTATTTTGTGTGTGTGTGTTTGTGTGTGTGTGTGTGTGTGTGTGTGTGTGTGTGGATGGGGAGTAGGGTGGAGGAGTGGTAGGGCATACAGTAAGTCGGTGCAGAGTGGAAGAGTGGATGCAGATTTTGCATAAAACGTTTTTCTGAGGTGCTGCGCTGCTGGATTACTGTTTCACAATAGACGACACACACGCACACACACACACACACACACACTCAAAGCTGCAGTGAATTACTATGCCTGATTATACTTGATTCCGCTTTGATTGTTTTCATTTGGAAGCAGTTTATCAGTATAGAGATTTTGGGAAGCCAATCAACTGTGTTCCTTTGATTGACCGCCAGCAGAAACTGTTAGGAGCGGACGCCCTGGCTTCTCCGGGTTTAAAGCATAATTCTGGTTCCATCAAAACATCAGCGGATATTTAGCCACCTCTAACGATAAAGCGCACGGGAGATGAGGGCAACATGTGTCATCTTCGGGGCACTTCTCATTTAGCGAATCAAAAGCGCCGTTGCAGAACATATGCTGCACATGCAGCCAAACAAGCAGCAGGATATGGGGCGGATGAAAAGGCAAAACTGGGAAGTGGATTTTGGAACAAATCTATATTCATAATTAGACGCACTGAAAAGAACTGTTTAACCATTGCAGAAAACATTTTTAATTGGATTTTTGGTAATTCAATTAACTGCTTGGCCCATAAAGTGCCACGAAATATCCCCCAAAAAAGTTTCCAGAATGAAATGTCGCGTTTCCTGATTCAGATATTTTACAATCTCTGTGGCGTAAAGCAGAAAGAATAGCAGATTTTTCACA